TCCCGCCCAGGGTGTAGGCTCGGGGCGTGACAATTGTTTCTCATGATGCTGATCAACTTCTTGAATTATCCTGGAATTCCTTGATTGACACTTCTTCTACAAGTTATCCAATGTTGGAAGATGATATTGTGCACGGACTTGATGATGACTTGGAGATCATAATTAATAGGTTGAAAGGACGATCACGGGATCTAGAGATTGTCACAATATCAGGCATGGGTGGCATTGGCAAAACAACACTCGCTAGGAAAACTTATGATCATCTCGCAATCAGGTATCATCACTTTGACATTCTTGCTTGGGTTACAATATCTCAAGAATTTAGAGTTAGAAATGTATTGTTAGAAGCTTTACGTTGCATTTCAAAGCAAGCAGTTCGTGTCAACGCAAAAGATTATGATAAGATGGATGACTCTGAGTTAGCAGACCTAGTGCAGAAGAACCTAAATCGTCGAAGATACCTTGTTGTTGTTGATGATATTTGGAGTACAGATGTTTGGGATAGTATAAGAGGAATATTTCCTGATTGCAACAATAAAAGTTGAATTTTATTGACTACTAGGGAAACTGTGGTAGCGATATATGCAAATACTAGTATCCCTCATAAGATGAACCTCTTGAGTTTAGCTAACGGTTGGAAGTTACTTTGTGATAAGGTTTTTGGACCAAAACATGATTATCCTCCTGAATTGGAAGAAATTGGAAAGGAAATAGTAGAAAAATGCCAAGGACTACCCTTAACAATTTCAGTGATTGCGGGACATCTTTCTAAAATGACTAGGACATTAGAAGGTTGGAAGGATGTTGTCCAAAACTTAAGTGAAATCATTGCTAGTCATCCAAATCAATGCTTAGGAGTGCTTGGTTTGAGTTACCACCACTTGCCTAATCGCCTCAAACCTTGCTTTCTATCTATGATTAGTTTCCCAAAGGATTTTCTGGTTGAATCTTGTATGTTGATCCAATTATGGATTGCAGAAGGTTTCATAAGGATGTCTGCTGGAAATTGTAAAAGTTTGGAGGAAGTGGCGATAGATTATTTGGAGGACCTTATTAGCAGGAACTTGTTACAGATTAGAAAAAGGAGATTCAATGGTGAGATAAAAGCATGTGGAATACATGATCTACTGCGTGTGTTATGTTTGATAGAAGCTGAAATGACAAAGCATATGCATGTTCAGAGAACCCACCCTACTCTACCAACACAAAAGCATAATACTCGTCGTTTCAGTTTTCAAACTGAGTCTAATTCAGATGATGATTGTTGTAAGCTATTACCCCCTTTTGCCAGATCTATATACTTATTTTCTCAATTGAATCTACCTTTTCCAAATCATATTAAGCTTCTCAGAATCTTGCCCATCCCCCGTTTTTCTCTCGTTTCAACACAATATGGTGAATTTCTCTCCCGTTTCAACCTACTCAGGGTATTGGTCATCTTCAATATAGATGTAGATGTAGATGCAGAGTTCCCACCATTTCCACTAGTGATTACAAAATTATTTCATTTGAGATTTCTCCATTTTCCATTTAACAGCAATATTCCTGACTCAATCTCAGAGCTTCAGAACTTGCAAACTCTAATTTGTAATGGTTATACTTTTTTACCTGGGAAGATATGGATGATGAAGAACTTGAGATATATACGTCTGGAGGGACCCTCTTATTTACCTAGCCCTAGAACATAAAGTCTTGTGACAGGGATGCAAAATCTAGAGGAACTTTCTAATGTCTGCTACGACAGTTGTACAAACGAAGTCTTTTCTGGCATTCCCAATATAAAGAGATTGATCATTCCTGTACCTTTTCTCTGTAAAAACTATTCACCCAATCGGCTCATTGATATGTCCATCTTGAGAAAACTCGAAGCACTCAAGTGTTATTACTGGAGACATAGTTGGATCGTGGGTATCACCATCAGGAGTTTTGTTTTTCCAACATCACTTAATAGGTTGAGTTTAAACAATTGTAGTAATTTTATTTGGGAAGACATATCATCAACTGTTATGATATTGCCAAATCTTGAAGAGCTCAAACTTAAATATTGTCGAACCTTGAATGATGAATGGAGATTGAGTGATGAAGACAAGTTCAAAAGCTTGAAGTTGTTGTTACTGAGCAGCCTAAATCTTGAGCGGTTGGAAGCGAGGAGTGATAACTTCCCAAATCTAAAACGCCTTGTTCTGAAGATGTGCTACAGGTTCCAAGAGACTATTTTCAAATCTATGAGATGAAATGCAAATCATTCTTTCTAAAATCATATGCTAAAATCTTGGTCTGTCTAAGACATTTTTCAAATAATGAGAAATTTTCTATAGCATGCATAGCTTATGCAATCTCATAAGAGCTTCCATAATAACATACCGACTCTAAAATCATACTTTGAAATAGAAGGTTCATGAATCATAAGTAACATCATATCAATAACTCATAAGAATGACCATGAAAAATCCTACTAAGTATAAAAAGAAAGTATAATAGTCAAGAATCCATAATCATAAATAAATAATTCAAGAAATCATGCAATTTGGGTCATAAATGTGATGAATTCGAAAGTGGGTTGGGTAAGCCTAACTATGAAACTAATTAAGTTCATGAAAATTGAGAAATCTTGAACATGAGGATGAAGTATTCCTCATTGAAGTCCTACATACCTCAGTAAGGAAGCTTGATGGAGAATCATGGAAGATGAACCCTAGCCTTGATGTTTCTTGAAGTTCTTGAACTAGGATTTTAGGAGTGAATGAGAGGATTAAATTATGAAAAACTGATTTTATACACCTTTAGGGCTATTTAGATGACTCCATAGTGGTTTTTAGGACAAAAATACCCTTAAAAAATTAATAATAAGAGCTGGAAGACGGAATTTTATTCCAGCGGACAGTTAGGTCCATATTCACTCCGAATCGCGGAGCCATCGTGGAGCTTCTGCCAGGTTAGAGCATCTCTAGTAAATTAGTCATAACTTTTTACTCCAAACTCAAACTGACGCAAACTTGTCGGCGTTGGAAAGAAGACTCATAGAACTTTAATTGGATAGGTTATGGATAACCTAACTCTTAATATTCTAAGAGATCATGGTTGTTTGAAGTTTGACCCTTATATAGACTCATGTGAAAACTTAGCGGATAGAAATGCTTTGAATTTGGCTTGGTGTTAGAGGTCCCTTATGATCCTTAATCACTTCCGATACCCTTTCTACATTTTTTAAAGAACCTTAAAACACACGAGCAAGTAGGACATCACCCGGTTCAAGTTTATATACTTACGACGAACGATTCAGATTCTAAGAGTAGAGTTGTGAGATGTTACAAAAGACCACCCTAAAATAGGATCATTCGTGCAAATGACCGTTGAGCGTCAAGCGCAGAGGCGAAACCAGGATTAAGAGTTTAGGGGTTCTAAATTTCATTAATAACCGTTGATCAATTTTGTTAGAGGTTCACGAATTAATATACATATATATATAATTAATTTTCTAGTACAAATATAGGGTCTACGGAAAAGCTACTGGGTTCGTCCGAACCCATGAACCCCCACCTAACTCCGCCTCTGGACTCAAGCATGCTTGAAGCCCATAAGTAAGTGAGCCTCAAGATGTTTTGCGATGAAAAAAAAAGCCTTTGGGAATGTGCTTTCTCTGATCCATTCATTGTCAAATGTATAGATGCTTTGTTTTCTCTGATCAGAACAAATAGACAATAATGGAGGTGCTTTTTAAATTAAGTAAAACTGTATTTTATTATATAACTCTATACAGATCTGCTTTCACACACCCAACTGGCATTGACTTAGTTTTTAATATCATCAAAAACTAATTGATTAAAGGATGTTTCTATAAATGCAAAAGAGTGGAGGAAGTATTCATGTAACTCTTATACCTAATCTAACTAGACAATAATAGTTATTTCAATGCCATTTCCTTTTTGAAATTCAAAGAAATTCATTTTTCTACTATAGGAAAAGGAGAAGTAATGAAGGGTGGGAGAATTTGTCTACTCCTTCAAGAATAATTTTGTTTCAATTCCTTTCCATATTGACTTCATGGCAGCTTATAGTGCTGTAATTTCTCTTCTTTGAGCTCTTGATGAACGAAATATTCCAGAGCTCGTTCATGGTCACACTGCTGAAACGCTCGATTCTCTTCATGCGACAGCTGAATATTTTCAACAGGTCCTTGAAAATGCTAGCAAGAGTAGATTTGACACTGAAAAGATCAAATCTTTGGAGGAAAAAATAAGAGTTGCTGTTAGTTATGCAGAAGATGTTGTTGAGATGAAAATTTCTCAAATCATCAAAGTCTCGAGGTGGACATCTGGAATTTTACAACACCGAGATTTGCTACCAGTGGTTAAGAAAATGGATGTAACAAAGAAACAAGTGATGGAGATTGTTTCTCATGATGCTGATCAACTTCTTGAATTTTCTGGGGATTCCTTGATTGACACTCCTTCTACAAGCAACCCAGTGCTGTCAGATCAGTCGGGAGATGATATCGTGCATGGAATTGATGATGACTTGAAGATAATAATTAAAAGATTGATAGGACCACTGTCGGATCTTGACATTGTCACAATATCAGGCATGGGTGGCATTGGCAAAACAACACTAGCTAGAAAAGCTTATGATCATCTTACAGTCAGGTATCACTTTGACATTCTTGCTTGGGTTACAATATCTCAAGAATTTCGATATAAAAATGTATTGTTAGAAGCTTTACATTGCATTTCAAAGCAAACTGATAGTTTCAATGCAAAAGATTATGATAAGATGGATGACTCTGACTTAGCAGGCCTATTGAAGAAAGAGTTAATTGGTCGTAGATAGCTTGTTGTTGTTGATGATATTTGGAGTACGGATGTTTGGGATAGCGTAAGAGGAATATTTCCTGATTTTAAAAATAGGAGTAGAGTCTTATTGACTACTAGGGAAACTGAGGTAGCAATGTATGCAAATACTTGTAGCCCCCATGAGAAGAGCCTTTTGAGTGCAGAAAATGGTTGGAGGTTACTTTGTGATAAGGTGTTTGGACCAAAATATGATCATCCTCCTGAATTGGAAGAAATTGGAAAGGAAATAGTAGAAAAATGCCAAGGACTACCTTTAACAATTTCGGTGATTGCGGGACATCTCTCGAAAGTGGCCAGGGCATTAGAAGGTTGGAAGGATGTTGCCCGAACCTTAAGTGAAATCATTGCTAGTCATCCAGATAAATGCTTACGAGTGCTCGGTTTGAGTTACCACCACTTGCCTTATCACCTCAAACCATGCTTTCTATCCATGAGTAGTTTCCGAGTGGATTTTCAGGTTGAGACTTGGAGATTGATCCGATTATGGATAGCAGAAGGTTTCATAAGGAGTTCCGAAAATTGTAAACGTTTGGAGGAAGTGGGAATGGATTATTTGGAGGACCTAATTAGCCGGAACTTGATAATGGTCAGAAAAAGGAGGTTGAATGGTGAGATAAAAACATGTGGAATACATGAACTTACCCTACTCTTCCAACACAAATGCATAATGTTTTTCGCTTCAGTTTTCAAACCGAATCTTATTCAGTCAATGACTATTATAAGCTATTACCCCCTGTTGCCAGATCTATCTACTTATTTTCTTGATTGAATCTACCTCTTGAACCCCGTATTAAGTTTTTCAGGAGATTTCCCATTTACCGTTGTGATCCTATAATACATGATTTTTTCTCTCGTTTCAAACTTATCAGGGTATTGGCCATCTTCAATGAAGATATAATGTTCAAGTCATTTCCACTTGTTATTAAAAAGTTGTTTCATTTGAGATATCTCCAAGTTCGATTTCATGGAGATATTCCTGAATCAATCTCAAAGCTTCAGAATTTGCAAACTCTAATTTGTGGTAGTTATCCTTACAATATAACTTTACCTAGGAAGATTTGGATGATGAAGAACTTGAGATGTATACGTCTGGAGGGACCTTCTAATTTACCGAGTCCTAGAGCAGAAAGTCTTGTGACAGGGTTGCCAAATCTAGAGGAATTTTCTATTCTTTGTTACAATAGTTGTACAAATGAAGTCTTTTCTGGCATTCCCAATTTAAAGAGATTGATCATTCAAGCACCTTTCAACATAGAAGAGTTTACTCATCGGCTATTGGATATGTCCAGATTGACAAAACTCGAAGCATTCAAGTTGTACGAGTCACCTTTTTTGGGAGACTCCATCAAGAGATTTGGTTTTCCAACATCACTTAGGAGGTTGTCTTTAACTCGGTGTTGTTATTTTTATTGGGCAGACATAACATCAACTCTTATCATGTTGCCAAATCTTGAAGAGTTCAAACTTAAACGTTCTCGATCCTTGAGTCATGAATGGATACTGAGTGATAAAGACGAATTCAAAAGCTTGAAGTTATTGTTACTGAGTGGTGGAGGACTTTCGCGTTGGGAAGCTAGCAATGATAACTTCCCAAATCTCAAACGCCTTGTTCTGAAGAATTGCTGGTTCCTGCAAGAAATTCCAGCAGATTTTGGCGAAATTTGTACTTTGGAATCAATTGAGTTACATGATTGCAGCACTACCGCTGATGATTCTGCAAGAAAGATTGTACAAGAACAAGAGGACATGGGAAATAATATCCTTAATGTCTACATCCATAAAAGTCGCAGTAAGTTTTAATTCTCTCTAACAAGTTCTTGGATTCTTCACATTATTAATTACCTCATATTTATAAATTTACCTCTTCGAAATTAAGATGATGACTTTCTTTAATATGCAGGGAATTGAACCTTATTTCGAGGGACCATCTAATGTCATCTTCCAAATGCAGAACCTTTTAGTTTATATTTTGAAAAGTCAAATCATAATTCGGTTTTATGTTCTTATCGGTTGGATAAATTCATGTTTTAGGAATAAGCATGTTTAATACATATATATCTCGCCCTTTCTTTATTTTCTTAAAAGGTAACTATTGATGTACTGTAATACCTATTTTGTATTATGTGATGGTGGAAAGGAAGATTAGTGTGCTTATATATAAGACTTATTACTTCCAAACAGAAACCAAACCTGATCTGAACAAGTGTTTTAATTTGTTCCATTCTACTCAGAATTTCGGCTATAAATAGAGAGGTTTACCTGAGTCTTTTGTGTGATTAGAGACTGGCTTTAAATTTGACGAAGTTGTAAGCGTTTGAGGTACTAATACTCTTGCAACATGTTTATCCGTTTTATCATGGGAGGACCTCAGGTACAATGAGTGGATTAATTTTCTTAAGGACACACAATGAATTCTATTGTTTCGAATATCTTTCTTTTTCCTAAATAAAAGTTTATGTTTTCTGGTCAATAAAACTTTTATGGTTTACAGCTTTGAATACATCGTATTAACATAATTGACAACTGTATAGATGCTTTTTTTCTCCAATCAGAACAAATTAACAAATTGTCAACTGTATTAGATGCTTTAAATTAAGTAAAAAAAACTGTCCATCAGAAGAAAGAAAACATTAATCAAATGATAGTTATTAGGGAAAAGGGTCAAAAATGCCCTCCGTTTATAGTTTGGCTCAAAAATGCCCTTGTCGTCAATACTTTGGTTCAAAAATGCCCTTGCAGTCAATACTTTTGTCCAGAAATGCTGCTATAGTTACTAAATGGGTCAAAAATGCCTTTTTCCGAATAAGTATATTATTTTTGCTTTTTAAACACATTTTCTTCTTAATTAAATTATTATAAAAGAACCATGTTCTTGTTAATTTCTTTCTTTTAAAATCACTTTAAAAAATAAAAATGTAGGAGATATTTTTTTTTTTCTTAATCTCATCTTATCAATTAAAATAGAATACCTTCATGTACCCTTTCGACATATAATGTATGTCATATATATAAGATCATAGTATATTCATCATCAATTTATATTTATATAACAATAAAATATAATTATAATAAAATAAGAAATATTTTCATTTTTTTTTTCTGAATTGAAGTAAGATAAACATTTACTTATTTAAAAAAATATAATTAGAAATAGAATGTGTTAAAAAGAAAATAAATAATATATTTATTTGAAAAAATGAGCATTTTTTTTTACTCAAAATAACAATAAGGACATTTTTGGACCAAAGTATTGACGGAAAAGACATTTTTGGACCAAACTACAAACAAATGACATTTTTGTTCCTTTCGCATAGTTTAAGAGTATTTTTGACCCTTTTCCCTAATTATTATAACTTGACACAGATGTGTTTTCACACAGACTTAGTTTTTTTAGTAAGTCAAATTATTTATTGATAAAATAAACACCAACATGGTGTTGGAAATAAATTATAAAAGAGTTTTTTATATTTTGAATTACATCCTCTTTACTCCTTCAAAAATTATTTGTTCCAATTCCTCTCCATATTGACTTAATGGCAGCTTATAGTGCTGTAATTTCTCTTCTTCAAACTCTTGAACAACGAAATCCAGAACTCTTTCATGATCACACTGTACAAACGCTCGATTTTCTTCATGCTACTGCTGAATATTTTCAACAAGTCCTTGAAAAAATTAGCAAGAATAGTAGATTTGACCATGAAAAGATCAAATCTTTGGAGGAAACAATTAGAGTTGCTGCTAGTGATGCAGAAGATGTTGTTGAACTGAAAATTCGTCAAATCATCAACGAATTAAGTTGGACATTTGGAATTTTACAACACTAGGATTTGCTACCAGTGGCTGAGAAAATGGATGCAACAAAGAAACAAGTGATGGACATTCTTTCTCATGATGATGATGCTGATCAAATTCTTGAATCATCGAGGGATTCCTTGATTGACACTCCTTCAACAAGTGATCCAATGCTGTCAGATCAGTCGAAAGATGACATCGTGCACGGACTTGATGATGACTTGGAGATAATACTTAAAAGATTGACAGGACCACCGTCGGATCTAGACATTGTCACAATATCAGGCATGGGTGGCATTGGCAAAACAACACTCGCTAGAAAAGCTTATGATCAACTTCAAATCAGGTATCATCACTTTGATATTCTTGCTTGGGTTACAATATCTCAAGAATTTAGAGGTAGAAATGTATTGTTAGAAGCTTTACATTGCATTCCAAAGCTAACAGATTTTAATGCAAAAGATTATGATATGATGGATGACAATGAGTTAGCTGACCTGGTGCAAAAGAACCTAAAGGGTCGAAGATACCTTGTTGTTGTTGATGATATTTGGAGTAGGGATGTTTGGGATAGTATAAGAGGAATATTTCCTAATTACAACAATGGAAGTCGAATCTTATTGACTACTAGGGAAACTGAGGTAGCGATGTATGCAAATGCCAGTAGCCCTCATGAGATGAACCTCTTGAATTTAGATAACAGTTGGAAGTTACTTTGTGATAAGGTGTTTAGACAAAAACATGGTCATCCTCCTGAGTTGGAAGAAGTTGGAAAGGAAATAGTTGAAAAATGCCAAGGATTACCCTTGACAATCTCAGTGATTGCGGGACATCTTTCTAATATCCCCATGACATTAGGAGTTTGGAAGGATACTGCACGAACCTTAAGTGAAATTATTGCTAGTCATCCAGATAAATGCTTAGGAGTGCTCGGTTTGAGTTACCATCACTTGCCTAATCGCCTCAAACCTTGCTTTCTTTCTATGAGTAATTTCCCAGAGGATTTTCAGGTTGAGACATGGAGATTGATCCAATTATGGATTGCAGAAGGTTTCATAAGGACTTTTGGAAGTGATAAAAGTTTGGAGGAAGTGGCGATAGATTATTTGAAGGATCTTATTAGCAGGAACTTGATACAAGCTGGAAAAAGGAGATTCAATGGTGAGATAAAAGCATGTGGAATACATGATATACTGCGTGAGTTCTGTTTGAAAGAAGTTGAAATGACAAAACATATGTATGTTGAGAGAACATACCCCACTCTTCCAGCACAAAAGCATAATGTTCGTCGCTTCAGTTTTCAATCCTTATCTCGTTCAGTTGATGACTTTTGTAAGCTATTGCCCCCTATAGCCAGATCGATCTACTTATTTTCTCACTTGGATCCTATAATACATGAATATTTCTCTCGTTTCAACCTTCTCAGGGTATTGGTCATCTTCCAAATATATATAGATCCAGATGTAGAGTTATCATCATTTCCACTTGTGATTACAAAGTTATTTCATTTGAGATATCTCCAATTTCCATTTTACTTCAATATTCCTGAATCAATCTCAGAGCTTCAAAATTTGCAAACTCTAATTTGTAGTGGTTATCCTTCCGATTATATAAGTTTACCTGTGAAGATATGGACGATGAAAAACTTGAGGTATATACGTCTGGGGGGATCCAATTATTTACCCATTCGTATAGGAGAAAGTACTCTCAATTATCTAGAGGAATTTTCTGGACTTTGTAGCAGGAGTTGTACAAATGAAGTCTTTTCTGGCATTCCCAATCTAAAGAGATTGATAATTCAAGTACCTTTACTCTGTAACGACTACTCGCCCAACGGACTCATGGATATGTCCAGCTTGAGAAAACTCGAAGCATTCAAGTGTAATTGCTGGCTACAGTCTTGGCAAGACATCATCAATAGTTCTGTTATTCCAACATCACTTAAGGATTTTGTTTTTCCAGCATCACTTAAGAGGTTGAGTTTAAATGGTTGTAGTAATTTTATTTGGGAAGACATATCATCAACTGTTATGATGTTACCAAATCTTGAAGAGCTGAAGCTTAAAGATTGTCGAGCCAATGATGATGTATGGATATTGACTGATCAAGACGAATTCAAAAGCTTAAAGTTGTTGTTACTGAGCATCCTAAATATTGACTTTTGGAAAGCAAGCAGTGATAACTTCCCAAATCTAAAACGCCTTGTTCTGAAGAATTGCAACTACCTGCTAAGAATTCCAACAGATTTTGGGGAAATTGCTACTTTGGAATCAATTGAGTTACATGGTTGCTTCCCTAATGCTGAGGATTCTGTAAGAGCGATTGAACAAGAACAAGAGGCCATGGGAAATAATTTCCTTAAGGTCTACATCCGTGATAGTCTCTGTAAGTACTAAAAAAGTTCTTCGATTCTTTCATCTTTGTTAAATCTTACTTTGAAATTAAGCTGATGACTTCTACTTTTTATCTTGCATATGCAGGGAATTGAAGCTTATTTTGAGGGAATATATATCTGCAGAACCTTTTTAAATTTTTATTTTGGAAAGTAAAATCTTTCTTTTATGTTCTGATTGTTTGTTAAAATTCATGTTTTAGGAATAAGCATGTTTAATGTACTGTAATATCTGTTTTGTGTTATGTGATGGTTCGAAATGAATAAAGTTTCAATCTATTATGCATTTCCTATGGAGTATAAGTATCGATGTTTTCACATTTTGAATCTGTTTTCCTCTATTCAATTATAATAAGTGTTTTTCATCGATGGGTGGTGCTTTCACCCACTGTTCATCAAATGAGAACCTCACCAATCCATGAAATTCATCTGGATCATTGTCAACAGTCATAATGCATAAACAAGCTCTTAAACTTGGCCTGCACTGACATTTATGTCCTCCAACTTGCGATGTGCACAAGTATATGCACTTAAGTTTGTATAAAGTTGAACAAGTAGAAATATGGCATCCTACGTGGAAGTTTTGCGTCCTACATGACGTCTTATGCATGTAATTCTTTCTTCCTCATGTTTCCTTGCAGAGGTGTGAGGTTAGCCATCTAATGAGAGCAAACATTGTGCATTCTCGAAGAAACAGAGGTCTCTACCCTTTGCTATGATACTAAATATCATCTGATTCTACACAAAACTATACTTTTTTTTAATGCCAATTCTCTTACATAGGTAGTGGCAAAGCTACAATCATCGAAAGGTAGCCAGTTGAACACCCTTCACCTAAAAATTATGGATTATACATAAGTTTATTATATATGATCATATGTTTAGTATACATAAATTATACATCTGCCGACTAGTGTTAAGTTTAATCAGTTGGGTGGGCGGCTCTTTAGGTTAGCTTGATGGACACTGTCTCTACTGACCTGTTGAGAATCAGTTAGAGCTTCAATCTGGAGGTTCATTTCATTGCCTTTTACACATTTCATTCCAGCAACCAAATCTGTCAAATGTTATTTGTTACTCCATTTGTTCTATTTTATGTGACGATGTTTGGCTTGACACATGGTATAAGAAAAATAGAAAGATTTTGATTTGACTAAAGTTCTTTGCAATTGACCTAAGTACATTGGTTCAAGATTAGATTTTGACTTAATTAATTAGCATGCGGGTGGGTAACACATCCATGCAATTAACTTTTCTTTAGCATATCATAATGGGTTGTGGTGGGACTATTGGATACATGCAACCTTAGTTAGAAGTCTCAGATTCAAGCACCTAAGAATGAAAAAAAAAGCCAGTTGAAAGTGTAGCCTCTAGAAATGAGTCATGCAATGCGTGAATTAAAATTTAGTCAAATCCAACACAGGTACGCTCTTGGAGTGAAAAAAGAAGAAGAGATTTTTCTTTAGCATCATATTTTATTCATGTTCTCTTTTAGAAAGTAGTAAGGGGAAAATGCAACTTGTAAAGGATCACACCTTTTTAAGAGCATAAAGGCATATAGCTTTTGAGACGCCATGACTCCACGTTGTCAAAATTTCCATCACATATGCATATAAATGAATGTTGCCGTTTCAAATTATGTGACATAGCTCGTATCGACATGAAATTTAAGAAATATTACTTGATTCTGGAATACGTGACATCACCGGTGTGAAGCTTTTGCCATCTGATAAAGACAAATTTAGCATATTTTAATAACAGCAAGAATGCATTAGATCACAAGACTATAAACAAATAGTAAATATGTACTATCTCATATAATTAGGAGCATATTTAATCTTTTTGCTCGTTAAAAATGATGTTACATAAAATGAAACGAAGGAACGGGTAATATGTGGCCTTTCTAGGTAGCATATAACTTTTTTTTTCTTATTTAAATTATTTTTCTGAGTGAGAATCACTTTATTCCTAGTATATATACCGTACCCTCTTTCTTAATTTGTCCTATTATTTCACCTTTTGTACTTTGTAATAAATTTAAAGTACGATTTGCATGGACTTTATTGCAACAAAATGTCCACGAAGAACTATTCGGTATCTAGAACCAACTAGCTAGTACGGCTTAATAAGAATTGCGTAAAAAAAAAGAGGAATATATCATTTTTTTTAGGAGTACTGTCAGAGCTCGAATTTAATATTTTTTTAGTTAAAGATGAAAGATTTGCATTCATCTTGTTACATCATTTAGTGATTTTAGCGATACTTGTTTAAAATTCATTTCCCCAACAAGAAAGTGGAAGGATATAACTTTTTGTACTTGGGAGGCTGGGTCGGGCCGGTCTGAAAGGAGTTTGTTAAGTAAATATCCAAGTTCACATATGTCCTTGTATATTCCTTTCTTCATGCATGGTGTTTAGTGTACTCAATTTTGTGTCTGATTCGACTTCAAAAGTTATTTCATGATAAGAACAGATTTCTTCGATCAATTGTGATACTCACCCCGCACCCCGCCCCACCCCACACTTTGCCCACATAAGAAATTGGGCCTGGATCTATCATCCTTGTCACCCCAAAAAGCATATGGCCTTTGGAACTTGGAAGTGCCAATCGACCCTCTCTATATATATTTGGAATATTTCAAAAGCATTAGTTCCAAACCAGCTAGAAGAAAGCTAACTCTTCCCCATTTCAATTTGTCTTATTCTTTAGCAATTCTTTAATTTCAATATCTCATATGATATATTTAAGAGCACAAAATTCAAAGGATACTTTAGTATATTACGCACATAGTTAGCTTCTATAAAATTCAAAAAAATAAATAAATAATCATTTTCTTCAACTTCGTGTATCTAATTAAATTATGGCACATAAAATAAAATGGAGTGAGCATATCAATATTGCATATATCCGTGTTATATTATTGTACATATTTAGTTCTTAAGGAATATTAATATGGGGTGTAAATCTAATTATCTACACTTAATTTCTAATGTATATAAAATTAAATGGTAAAGAAGTGATTTTTCTTTTGAGGAACTTAAGAAATATGGTTTAGAACTTAGGTTACGATGTTGGACTATATATAGAACAATAAAATCGTTAATTAATGGATTGTCGATAAATTATCAGAAAACTCTTATCAGCTATGAGCTATTTAATGATGAATTTGATAGTTAATTCTTATTTTGGAATGTTAGTCATTTTATCCACGTTACACATAAAGTGCTCAAAGATCATAAGGAGAATATTTAAAAGGTAGTTATATTCCATTCTTATTTTCAAGATTGTAGAATGTGATGCAGTTTCATTTATCATACAAATGATAAAAAGTATATATATATATATATATATATATTATTTTTTATTTTTTTATTTTTTTATTTTATTTTATTTTTATTTTATTTTTTTTAATTTTTTTTTTGCTCTTTTATTTATATATAGGAATATTTTCATCTTTTTATTTAACCCTTATATATAGCTCCCTCCAATTCAAGTAACCATATCAACTCAACAAACTCAATACACAAAAAGCCTTTTCTCTTCTAGTTGCCTTCACATATTTTCTTCCAATAAAAATATATCTTTCACAAAAGACTTAAAAACATTATGGAAATGGTGATGAAGTTGGGAGCACAAAGTCCAGTGGTGATTTTCAGTAGAAGCACTTGTTGCATTTCTCATAGCATCGAAACCCTAATTCGAAATTTCGGAGCAAACCCTATTGTTTATGAGCTTGATAGAGTTCAAAATGGGAAGGAATTGGAGAGGGCATTGGTTGAATTAGGGTGTCAACAAATTGTGCCTGCTGTGTTCATTGGAAATGAGTTAGTTGGAGGTTCTAATGAAATTATGAGTCTCAACATTAGAGGCAAGCTCAAGCAATTGCTCATAAAGGCTAATGCAATTTGGGTATAGAAAATATATGTTTGTGATTTATTTTTTAATTACCATGGCTCCAAGGCAATTTGCACACAACTCGACTAGTTACATGAGTACTTGTGCTTCCTACATCAACAGAGGTACTGGATAACTCTATCCATGACAACTTGGACTGATAGAAAGAAATCACCTGGTATTTGCCTCAAGAGAGATTTATTACAAGATTGAAATTTGATAGCTAAATTAATGACTAGGTCTTGATGTCAATTTTGGGCAGTGAAAGACCTAGCTATTGAGGTTTTCTTTTATTCACCTTTTTATCTCCAAGTTTTGTTGTTAATGTATTATTTAATATAATAATTAATGGTATGTTTTGGCCATACAATGATCATCATTTTATGCATTATTAATTCATATCATATTCCTAATGTTGTTCTTGCACACAGAACCTAGTAGGCTTGTATATTGAAGTAACTTTTTTGTTCAAATCCTGTATATGTATTAAAATTTTACTAATTATGTATAAAAAATAAATTCAACGCCCAATTATCAACACTTGATGAGGTCATTATCCTAGAATCAAGAACCCAAAAAATTCAAATTCTAAATCTATTTTCTGCTCGCGTTATTTCTAGAGTTATAAGCAAACACAAGATATATATAATGCTATCATATAGGTGCTTTCTGGCTCCTTCTTTAGCCAGTAGATCCGCTACTACATTTTGCTCCCTAAATGTGGGCCATTATGAGCTCAGGGTTCCTAATAACGTCATCAAGTACCTGCATTCATGAATAATAATTGAGTAAGTAAAGTTATTATTATTCAGAAAATAGAGTCGATTGCAACTCTAGATCTATTGTTTTAGGTTGTCTCAAAGAACGACATCTTTTTGTACATAGATTAATTCTTAAAAACAATTTAATTATAATTATGACATGTTTAAAATTATAGGTCCAAAAGTTTTCCTTTTTTTTTGTTAAAATTCATACTAATCAAATATCGTCATAGCATAAAATGAACTAGAGGAATAACATACCTTGATGTTGGAGATAAATTGTAAAGAAAAAATAAAAAATTGTGACCTTCCGAGTTTGTAAGGGAGATTTTTTTATGGGTGAGAATATATTGTGATGATAAAATTGACATAGTAATTTATATATTCCCTTTATTGATCAAGTAATTCACTTTATTCCTAAAATATAATAAAGGAATTTGAATCAATTAAGTTAGTCATTTATCAACCAAATTACTAGCTAGAAGAAGCATCAAAATTTGTGTGGTACTTTTTTCTATACTTTTGGTACGGATAATTATGTGAACTATTGATTTCAACAGCATGTATATACGTCTATAAGTATATATTCCCAAAAAAAAAGATATTTTTACATCATCATATTATTATTACGTGTAATTTTTATATAAATAACTTGTTTTATTTTTAAGATCGCAAATTTCATATTTTAAAAAGATTCATATGTAAATATATTTTGAGTCATGACTCGATATATAGTATATAGCAAAAAATCTTTATACTTATTATGTGCATAACTTAAACTCAATCACAAAATGTATTCACTCCATTTAAAAAATTGTAATTACTCAATATGTAGTTATTGTATTATAATATTGCCACAACATATACATAAACATGCTCTTCATGCATGTTATAAACGGTGGATAAAGCAAAATTGCCTAGATTTCCAAAAGAAAAGACTAGGTATGACCAAATTAAAGTATAATAGCTTTATTTATACATCAAGATTAATCATTAATCACAATGTGAAGAAAATTACAGAGATCAAAGATAAAAGTCTCACTATATGAAAATTCCTAGACCTAGTACACTTGCTATACATATATATAGTCTTTATTAATTCCTATACCCAAATGGCATTAGCCCTAATTAGCAATATAATTGCTTAAGCTTACCCCTCACATTAAGACTCATTATCTCATTAGCACCACCAACTAACTCTTTCCCTATAAATATTGCTGGCACACTTGGATGACACCCTAGTTCAATCAATGCCTTCTCCATTTGCTTCCCATTTGGATGTGTATCGAGCTCGTAAACTATAGGGTTTGCTCCAAAACTACGGATTAAGGTTTCAATAGTATGAGAAATGCAACAACTACTCTTGGTGAAAATCACCACCGCGCTTGATGCTCCCAACTTCATCACCATATCCATGTTTGAAGTAGAAATTTAAATGATGAGTTTGGCCAAATGCCAAGATTTTTAGGTTTTAGTGAAGAGGAAATTAGAAATTGTGAAGGATACAAAAAATGAAATATGAAAGTTTGTGAAGTGAATTTGAGACTTGATTTGTTGTTGAGAAAATTGAACCTAACATGAAGCTATATATAGAGGCATTATGTTAACTAAAAGAGAGAGAGAGAATAAAAGGTGAAAATTGTTGTGGATATGGATATATCTAGATTGTTCTTGATCACTTGTATGATAAGGACATAACAAAACTAAATTGAAAATAAAAAGAATATAATCTATCACATCTTTAAAATATTCCAAGAACATTGTAAGGCCACTAAAGTCCTTTTGGATTTTCATTTTTCACACAATTTTATTTATTTTTCAAGTTCACGCTTGCTTGGTTTTTTTTTATTATTACCCTCCCTAGGAGCTCCCACCTCTTTTGCTCCCTTGGTGACTCGAACTCGCAACCTTTGGGTTGGAAGTGAGGGGTGCTTACCATCCGAGCAACTCCATCGCGTCCGCTTGCTTGGTTTGATTTGTGTTTTTAATGCAATTTTCTCTTTTCGAAAACAACATTCTCGTATCAACGTATTAAAGTATGTGACCATTTCATTTCTAGCTTAAATCATTAGAGATCAAAGCACACCTTTATTTTTTTTTAACTGCGGACCTAAATTTCCTTATTAATATACTACGTACTATTACTCTTCAATAATTTATATAACGTTGACTTGTATGTTTCGATAATTATATGCAATCATGAAAAGTGTATAATATAATGAAGAATCAAGACCGATGTTAGAAGAAATATGAATGTTTCATTTTCAGTTAAGTTCTGATAAGAACAAATTGTATTTTTCGAATGCCCTCTTTAGGGGTGTACATGGTCGGGTTGGTTCGGATTTTTTAAATAACAAACCAAATTATTTGTGTCGAATTTTTAAATCTATAAACCAAACCAAACCAATAAAACTCGGGTTTTTTAACTTCGGATTTTTTTGGGTTTTTCGGGTTTTTCCGGTAAAGTATTCATACAAACATATAATTTACTTGTACTTCAAATATTTCTTTAGTCCTACCAAAATACAACTATCTAAGGTGTTTCTTAAGAAAATAACACAAAATATGATATGAGTAATGACACTAAAATATCCAACAAAAATATAATAATAATGAAATCACGTAAAACAAATATTGCAAATAACAAGTCATAATGAAAATGATCATAATTTAAAAGTACTAAATCATACTAAAATAAGTTTAATAAGTATTAGTTACATGACTAAATATTAAAGGAAATAAAATTATATTATGTATTTGAATAAACCAATGTAAAACCATAGAACAAATATTCAATATTATTGTCATTTTTAGTGTTTAATAATATATTAAAAGATAAAAACTATGAAAAAGTATAAGAAATATTTAAAAATTATATCAAAGTAAATATTTTTATGTATAAAATAAGATTTTAAAATTATATATGTAATGTCGGGTTGGTTTTTTAGTTAAAACCAAACCAAACAAATATAGTCGGTTTTTTTTTCAATACCAAACCAAGTCAAACCAACCACTAGTCAGGTTTTTTTTCTCGGTTTGCGATTTGATTCGGTTTTTGATTCGATTTTGTACACCTCTAGCCCTCTTGAGCACAATGTATCTACTAAAGGAAAAATAAATCTATATGTCCAGCTGGAGTAATCTTTTTCAATAGAATATTACTTTTAATTTGGGAGATAAAAATGAAATCTTTTAAGAATATATATCCACATATATATAGACGTGTTGTTGAAATCAAGTCCACATTAATTATACGATCTGTACCATAGACAAATTTGATTAAAATTCCCTTTAGTATAAAGTAGATATCAAAAAAGGGAATTTAGTACAATTATATTACTTATCTATGAAAAATGCTCAATCCCTTACAACCTCGAAGAGCCACATATTTAACGTATTACTCTACTTTCCCTCTTAAGGTATCAAAATGTAACAAGGTCATACTTCAGATAAAAATAAACGCTCAACTTTAATTGCATGCGTACTTTCAAAGTTGTGTCTTGGAAAGGCGTTATATATAGTTTTTTTTAATGAAGTCATAATATATGTCCTTGGCAAAATCCAACTTTAGACATTTTTCGTAGTTATGTCTTTGGCAAGGCCAACTTCGGATATTTTGGCATGAAGTTAGGACATATATATTATATGCCTCAATTTCAGAAATATATGACTTAAATTCTAAAATTATGTTGAAGCAAAAAACGAGAAAAAAGGACTTTAGTCTTTATGTTAATTTAAATGAAGAAAGGCTGATTATTATTTTTTATTTGTAATTATCTTTACGTATTTTTTCCCACCAAATTCGAATAGTGCATATTGAGAGAATACGATATGAGAGAAGAAGAAGCAAGAAGAATCATGTTAATCAAGCGATGTATTTTCAATTGCATAAAATACAAGGTTTGTTTGGTACGTAGAGAGGTAGAGGCAACTTTTTCAGAGGAAGAGCATACGCAAACCTATGTCAAATTTGTGAAAGAAATAACTATATGGCTGAAGCAGTCTTAATTGTAGATTTTAAATTTGAGCCTTGAGTATATATAAATTATGAAATAGTCTTTTGTAGAAAATGTTTTGCTCTCAAAATGGAACTTTCCGATGCAGATTCAAATTAGTCCATACCCAAATTAAATAGTACTGGATACCGAATTGAAAAAAAAGTTTCCCCATGCCATTGCATGCAAAAGATGGAAGTGAGGAATTTCTTATTGATGGCAAGAAGATTTCATTCATGTATATATGTCACCAAAAGTCAAAACTTTTAATATGTAGGTACATATAAGAATATTTGCAATATGTGTGTTCATGTGGTCTTTAGCCTGTTAGAACAAGTTGTACCTGTTGTATGTAAAGAATGTCATTCGAACAAATCAAACAAGTTTCATAACGATACATAGAGATGCTAATTTCTCTATTAAATTCTTCCTAAGTCTTTACAAAATTAATTAAATCGAAATCGCCACTTCTTTATAGATAAATAAATAATATAAGTTGTCACCCATGAAGGGTTCCTGTGGAGGGTTTGACTTGACCCTACCACTAGATTGCAAAAAGAAAAGAGTTGCTATGACCAAAGTATTAGTAGATTTTATTTATACATCAAGAAGCAAAATGTGAGAGAAAACAAAAAGAGTACTCTCTATTTAAGTGGTAAATTTATCATCAAAACATTTAGACTAATTGCTATATACATAGCTAGTCATTATTAATCAATTTTTACACCCAAATGGCATTAGCCCTAATAAGCAATTGTTTAAGTTTTCCCCTCACATTAAGGCTCATTATCTCATTTGCTCCACCAACTAACTCTTTCCCTATAAATATTGCTGGCACACTTGGATGACATCCTAGTTCCATCAATGCCTTCTCCATTTGCTTCCCATTTGGATGTGTATCGAGCTCGTAAACTGCAGGGTTTGCTCCAAAACTACGGATTAAAGTTTCAATGCTGTGAGAAATGCAACAACTACTCTTTGTGAAAATCACCACTGCGCTTGATGTTCCCAACTTCATCACCATGTCCATTTTGAAACAACTTCGTCAAGAAACAATGAGTAGTTTGGCTCAAATGCCAAGATATATGTATATAGCTTTTAGTAAAGAGGAAAGAAGTTGTGAAGTGAAATTTGAGGGTTGATTTGTTGTTGAGAAAATTGAACCTAACATGAAGCTATATATAGAGGCATTATGTTAGGTAAAAGAGAAAAAAAAAAAAGGTGAAAATTGGTACAAGTTGATGATGTGATATATCTAGATTGTTCTTTTATTACACTTGTATGATAAGGGCATATAATTGTATGCCTTAGCTGGATTTTAAAGTAGCATAACATACTCAATCTGAAAATGAAAAGAATATAATCTATCACTTTTAAAATATTACAAGAACATTATATTGCAATATGTCACTATGATCTCTATCTTGGTTCGATTTGTATATTTAAGGCAATTTTCTCTTTTAGAAAATAAAAATCTTGTTTGAACATGTTGAATTGTGCGACCACTTCAAGCTTAAATCATTAGAGATCAACTCACATTAATTTTTATTTACTTAACTAAATTTATAAAACGTTGACTTGTAGTTGTATGTGTCAATAATTATAGATGTTGCATTTTCAGTTTGTACACTTAATTATTCACTATTAATAAACTCCGATAAGAACAAAATATATTTTGTGAATGCCCTCATTGAAAACAAAGTATCTACAAAAAGAAAACTAAATGTATATTATATCCAGCTGGAGTGATATATTTCGATAGAATCTTACTTTTGATTGGAGAAAAACACTGAATTTTTTTTCCAGAATATATCCTCATAGACATACTGTTAAAATCAAGTTTGATTGCTATGTGACAAACTTGGTTAATATTAATTCCCTTTGGTATTAAATAAAATCATTCGATAAAGAAAGGGAATGTACGTAGTACGAGTTGTTCTATTATTCTCATTCAAATAAATTCTCCCTTACTACATCGAAAGGTCACATATTATCATAGTACTCTATTTTACCTCGTTAAGGTCACTATATACGATAATTGTGTGAGACTTCTTTTTATTTCATAATTAAATGAGACTCAAAGTGTGTGGACCCAAAAGTCACGTACGGCCGCCTAAGTGGTCAAGCCACTAAAGCAAAGACTTTAGGCTCTAAAATTTTGAGGGCCAATGTTTTTTTTTCTTCCATTCAGATTGAAATCCTACACAGAACCTCCATAGGGAAGGGCGTCTAGCCAGATCGAGTATCAAATGATAGAACTAGAGTCGGGAGCCACATAGATAGGCACGATAGAATGAAAAAAAGGCCTTGGCTTGAGTCCCTATGTCCCGTACCCCTCCCCTCTTACCGGGATATCTATTATATCAAGATTTCTTTTTTGAGTCCACTAAATGTTAGTATCTGTATTGAATTTCTCGAGTAATTCGATTTTGAGACATGCAAGACTAATTAAAGAGAAAAATGTTCTCTAGAAAGATTTTCTTTTTACTCAGAGGCTCAAACTTAAAACCTCTAGACTCTAGTTAAGGCTTTTACCTATATAATCGATGTATAGGCTATAGCTTAGCCTTACTTTTCTTTTAGAAAATAATTGAGCAAAAAAATTAATAAAGCTTCCTGTTGATGTTTAGGCGGCCACCAATCTTACTGAGTCGTCTATGCCAAAAGTGTAAGACGTGGATTCCACATACTCGTGAGACAAAAGATAGCCTCACTCAACTATTATCAATTATGTATGAGGCATACAAAAAAAAAATTGAGTTAAGATATTATAATAATGTAACGACTATAATATTATCTTGTGCAAATGGGAACACAATATTCCTCTGCCATTGCAAAAAGGGGGGAAATAACAAATCTTCCTATTAATGGCTAGAAGATTTCATTCATATAGCACCTCAAAATTCAAAACTTTTATAGGTAGGTAAGAATATTTGCAATATGTACCATATGGACTCCTATTAAAACAAGTTGTTTTGATTGGATAAGAGGAAGGCATTCGAATGAGTCATTTATTAATCTTCAAGATTAATTAAGAACAACAATATATATATATATATATTTGATTAATTAATAATTAAATAAAACAAAATATATGTGGCATCTTGAAATTCATAAAATGGCACTAGCCTACTACATATTAGGTTCTTTTGAGGTCCTTTGAGGATATGTTGTCTTTGCAAGGAAGTTAATCATCTGGTTTGCTTCTTTGTATAGCAATGATAAATATTGGAGTGAAATTGACACTTCTTCGAGAGTTCTGTTCAGAACATAATTAAGTATATAAAAATGTGGTTTTTTAATAACTCAAGTTTTTGATAAGATAGTTATATATGTAGAATTCTTAAGTAAAAGAATGAGAGCAATCAAAGATTGTATTGATAAATGAATCGTCGAGTATATGCTCCTTATATATGAGTTGTTACAGAAAGTTTGTGGAATCCTAGATTAGCTACACTTAGAGTTATACTACAATGCAAATACAATTACAAGAGTAGAGGTTTGACTACTACTACGACTATAACTCTTTAACAAGACACAATATCCTAGTCCTAGTACGACTCGAACTTTTTAACAATTAACATTGTTGTACCACGTTGTTTAATGTGTGCCTTAAATTCAGGTACCCCTATCTTCAACAATATACACTTCTAACGGCAAGAGTTCTGAGATCGAATCGTACCACTACCCTTTATCCAAAAGAGAATTTTGATGTGCATGTTAAGAACATAATCAAGCAAATAAAGGTGTGTTCTCTCTGAGATATGATCACACACACTAACAAGTTCTTCAATGCTTCTCTACATAATTTGGAGATTATTATATATGATATATTGAATCAAGATATACTTCAAGTATCACTAATAAGAGATTGATATTGTTTATTTCATCATACGATGGACTTTGCTCAATCTCAAAATGTAAAAGTGATAACACATAACGTATGTATATAACCACATAAAGTAGTATAAAATATTATTGATACTTTATTAAAATTCAATACATAAAGACATGATCATTGTTATGAACTTTTTCCATGCCATCAGCTGTAAACAAGTAAAACAGCCACTAGCTATGACCAAAGTATAACTCTCTTTAGTACATTAAGAAGCAAATAAAAATGGGAGAAAAACACAACCTTTGCTAAAAAGCTAAAAAGAACCTCTACAAATAGGGTTGATTTATTGTCAAAACTCCTATATTTGCTATACCAAGTCATTATTAATTAATTTCTATACCCAAATTGCTTTAGCCCTAATGAGCAATTGTTTGAGCTTTCCCCTCAGATTAAGGCTCATTATCTCATTAGCACCACCAACTAACTCTTTCCCTATAAATATTGCTGGAACACTTGGTTCACACCCTAGTTCCATTAGTGCCCTCTCCATTTGCTTCCCATTTGGATGTGTATCGAGCTCGTAAACTATAGGGTTTGCTCCAAAACTACGGATTAGGGTTTCAATGCTGTGAGAAATGCAACAACTACTCTTGGTGAAAATTACCACCGCGCTTGATGATCCCAACTTCATCACCATATCCATGTTTTAAATGAGTTCAAGAAATGTGTATAGTTTGGACAAATGCCAAGATATGTATATAACTTTTAGTGAAGAGGAAATTTGAAGTTTTGAAGGCTAAAGGTTTTGTGAAGTGAATTTGATGCTTGATTTGTTGAGAAAATTGAACCAAAGATGAAGCTATATATAGAGGCATTATGTTAACTAAAAAGACAAAAAAAAAAGGTGAAAATTGCTAAGAATTACAAGTTGATGATATGATATATCTAGATTATTCTTGATTACACTTGTATGAAAATAAGAGCATATTGCATGCCTTATCTGGATTCTAAAGTAGTATAACATACTCGAGCTGAAAATAAAAAGAACAAAATCTATCACCTTTAAAATATTCCAATATCATTGTAAGCTCACTAAATTAAAGTCCTTTTAATTTTTGATTTGAGGAAAAAATAAGTGCAATCTATTAAGAATATATATCCTCATATAGACATGTTGTTGAAATCAAATCCACATTATATGATCCGTACCCTTAGAGAATTTTTTGAAGCTTCTCCTAGTTTGGTTGATATATTAAAATTCCTTTTGGTATAAAATAAAATGCACCCTTACTACCTCGAAAGGCCACATATATTATCATTTTAGCTAGCTGTGTGGCACATTTTTGAATCTAAGAAAATAAAATAAAAATCTATAAAAGATGTCTCTATTAAGGTTTATGATTTTTGAGATCCAAGATAATTATGGAAATGCTCGAGTCTCATACATTGGTTAATATTGTCGTACATATGGGGAAATTAAGGGTATATATAATTGACAATAAAATCCTAATTAAACAATAATTAATCTAATGGATATATATGTATGTTATTGGACTTATGGATATATATGTTATTGGACTTATTAATATTGGAGATATGTGTAATGGATTAATGTCTAATGGTAGGATTAAATACATATAAGATATAATATTTTCGAAATATCCAAAAATTTGAAGTACCAAATCTAAAATCCAAAAAAAATAGAACTTAAATCTTTTTAAAAAAAATAAAATAAAATAAAATTGGGGTAGAAAAAGGGCAAATAGGGAGGGGATTTTTTTTTTTTTGGATACAAAACAGAGGTAGTATATTATATGTTAATATGCGTCATTAGAAAGCAATGGCAGAGCATGTTGCGATTTGTATCTAGAGAGGGGGATTGGGTTGATTACAATATTTATTAGTACTAGTTGGCTTTAAAAAAAAGTTGGCTTAATATGGCTAGCAAAAAAAGTTCTCGCTTTGTCTGCTTCGGGGAGGGGATTATAATATGTGGAATTGAACCTCAATCAATAATAAGGTGGAATTCAGATAGTTAACTAATTGAGGTACTAAGATTTCAAAATTCAATCCACGAACCAAAAATTCAACGAATTTTTTATTTCGATTCGGGATTACCCAAATTATGCTCTCCCCTACTCCAAACCTATTCACAATCTCAACCTTTCTTGGAAAATTCTACCAATGTTTGTCTTGAATGAAATAGACTAGAGTAGATAAGGCTGAAACTTTTTTTATTAGTACTAGTACTAATTAAGGGTGAACAAAACCGAACCGAGAACCGAACCAAACCGCAAACCGAGTCAATCCGGAAAAAAAACCCGACTAGTGGTTTGGTTTGACTTGGTTTGGTTTTGAAAAAAAAAACCCGACTATATTTTATTTCAAGTTTGAAACTTAGAATTATGAATGGGCCAATAAAGATTATAGTCCACATATGTTGGTAATTATAATAAAGCTTAAATCAAAATCAAATTAATACTAATGCAAAAAGAAAATCAATTCAACACTAAGAATGACAATAATATTGAATATTTGTTCTTTAGTTTTACATTGGTTTAGACAATTCAAATACATAATCTAATTTTATTTTCCTTTAATATTTACTCATGTAACTAATACTTATTAAACTTAATTTTAGCATGATTTAGTACTTTTAAATTATGATCATTTTCATTCTGACTTGTTAATTTGCAATATTTGTTTTACGCGATTTCATTATTATTATTTTTGTTGGATATTTTAGTGTCATTAATCATATCATATTGTGTTATATTTTTAAGAAACATCTTAGATAGTTGTATTTTGGTAGGACTAAAGAAATATTTGAAGTACAAGTAAATTATATGTTGTGTATGAATACTTTACCGGAAAAACCCGAAACAACCCGAAAAACCGAAAAACCCGAAAAAACCCAAAAAAACCCGAGGTTGAAAAACCCGAGTTTTATTGGTTTGGTTTGGTTCATAAATTTAAAAATCCGACACAAATGGTTTGGTTTGATATTTGAAAAACCCGAACCAACCCGGCCGTGTACACCCCTAGTACTAATGTATCCCCTAACATTGATAGCAGTCCAGCACTGTCACTCTCTTGTAATGACGCATATTAAATATTAATATAATTTTTTTTCTTCTATTAAGCATTAATTAATCATCTTTCGAATAATTAATAATTAAAAAAAGTCACAACGAAATTTGCCTTATCGGAGTTGACATTTATCCATGTCGAACCATCCTCTTGCACCAGCTGGAAGATGTTGTAGATTGAAGTGATGTATAGGAGATAGGTTATTTTGAAGATATGATATAAGAACAGGCAAAGGTCCTGAAATTGAATCACACCATTATCGATTATCAAATGAAATTTTTATGTGCTTGATGGATTGACCCACGAAATAGAATAAGCCTCACGTGAATTAGGGTATGTTGAGGCTTGAGAACATAATTAATTAAATAGAAGTGTAGATGATCAGTACCTAAATTATATTGGAAATTATTATATATGATCTAGAATCGAGATATACTTCAAGTAGTGGTGTTATAGATCATTAATAAGAGATTGAAATAGTTTATTTTCATATGATGGACTTCGTTAAATATCGAAAATATTGTAAAAATGATAGAATATAACACGTGTAGCCATTATAAAGTAATAAAAAATGTTATTGATACTTTATTAAAATTCAATACATAAAGATATGATCATTGCTATGAACTTCTTTCATGCCATCAGCTGTGAACAAGTAAAATAGCCACTAGCTATGACCAAAGTATAACTCTTTTTAGAAGCAAATAAAAATGGGAGAAAAACACAACCTTTGCTGCATAGAAACCTTTGCTAAAAAGCTAGAAAGAAACTCTACAAATGGGGTTGATTTACTGTCAAAAGTCCTAGACTTGCTACCAAGTCATTATTAAGTAATTTCTATACCCAAATGGCATTAGCCCTAATGAGCAATTGTTTAAGCTTACCCCTCACATTAAGGCTCATTATCTCATTAGCACCTCCAACTAACTCTTTCCCTATAAATATTGCTGGAACACTTGGCTGACACCCTAATTCAATCAATGCCTTCTCCATTTGCTTCCCATTTGGATGTGTATCGAGCTCGTAAATTGTAGGGTTTGCTCCAAAACTACGAATTAGGGTTTCGATGCTGTGAGAAATGCAACAACTACTCTTGGTGAAAATCACCACCGCGTTTGTTTCTCCCAACTTCATCACCATATCCATTTGAAACAACTTCAAGAATTAATGAGTAGTTTATAGCTTTTAATAAGAGGAAAAGAAGTTGTGAAGGCTAAAGGTTTTTTGAAGTGAATTTGAGGCTTGATTTGTTGTTGAGAAAATTGAACCAAAGGTGAAGCTATATATAGAGGCATTATGTTAACTAAAAGACAAAAAAAAAGGTGAAAATTGCTAAGAATTACCAGTTGATGATATGATATATCTAGATTGTTCTTGATTACACTTGTATGATAATAAGAGCATATTGCATGCCTTATCTGGATTCTAAAGTAGCATAACATACTCCAGCTGAAAATAAAAAGAACAAAATCTATCACTTTTAAAATATTCCAAGAATATTGTAAAGCTCACTAAATTTTTAATTTTTGATTTGAAGAAAAGAAAAACAGTGCAATCTTTTAAGAATATATATCCTCATATAGACGTGTTGTTGAAATCAAATCCACATAATATGATCCGTACCTTTAGAGTATTTTTTGAAGCTTCTCCTAGTTTGGTTGATATATTAAAATTCCTTTTGGTACAAAATAAAATGCACCCTTACTACCTCGAAAGGCCACATATATTATCATTTTAGCTAGTTGTGTGGCACATTTTTGGATCTAAGAAAATAAAATAAGATCTTTAAAATATGTCTCCATTAAGGTTTATGATCTTTGAGATCCAAGATAATTATGGAAATTCTCGAGTCTCATTGTATTCATGTATGGAATATACATGCATATTGGTTTTTTTTTTACATGTATGTTGGTTAGTGTGGTACATATGCGAAAATTAAGGGTATATATAATTGACAATAAAATCTTAATTAAACAAGGAGACTAATTAACTACTCTAATGGGTATATATGTTAGTGGACTTTTTTTTTTTTGGTAGAAAATATGATATTTATATTAATTAATTATTGATCCTTAAACTAGAACACTGAAGTTGCATTGCTGAACACCTACTAATGGTGTTCGAGGGAGGGGGCATTTTTTCTTCAGTACTATTACATACAATATTTGCAAAAGATGGTTTTGTGAGCCTAACAAAAGTAGTTCCCACTTTGTCTGCTTCTAGCTTTTTTGAAATAAATACCGGAGGAACTTCCGTGCACAAAAAAGAGTTGTCCTGAGTTAGTTTAGCGCTTTCCTTTGCTAGAGCATCTGCCACTTGATTAGTTTCCCTAAAGTTGTGTATTGGAGGGTTCCCCAACCACCGGAGGAGATCCCAGTTTCCTTGCTAGTGCTAGTTGCATCCCCTGCATTAAGGCTATTAGTTCAGCTTTTATGTTATTTGCTCTGTAAAGATTCCCCATATATCCTACGACCCAATCTCCTTTAATATCCCTAATGACTCCTCCTGTCCCACTGCGTCCTAGGCTGCCTTTAGAGGATCCGTCACTAATGAGTTTGAAACCTATAGGAGGAGTTGTCCATTTCAGGTGCTTTATTAAGCTTTTTTTTTTGCTTTTGCAGTTATGGTTTGTGAGAGCAAGAAATTCAACTGCTTGTTCGAGAGCTTTTTCGGCTCAAATTTTCTTCCCCCTGTTATTGTGGTAGTTATCGTTCCTTGTTAGCCATACATTCCATAAGTAGAAGGGGAAGACATCTTGCCAAGTTAGTGAATGTTTGAGAGGTACCTTGAGGTTTTTTAGTAGGGATAGCCAATCTGATTCCTGGTTGTTTGTGAATTGGTTTAAAGTGTATATTACCCCTAATTCCTTCCATAGCAGCCTTACATTGGGAAATTCGATAAAGATGTGTTTTATTGTTTCAGGCTTTCCACATATGTGACATAGGTTGCTAACATTAATTCCTATTGAGTTTAAGTAGTTTGTGGTTGGAAGCCTATTGTGCTGGCAAAGCCAAAGGAAGAATTTTATTTTGCTGGGACATTTTTGTGTCCAAACCCATTTGATGCTCACGGGGTTTTGTTTGTTACTGGCATTTTTCGTTAGGAATTTGTAGATTGAAGAAGTAGTTAGTATACCCTTCGGCTGAGGTTTCCAAGTAGTTAATTATATCTATTTTATTTGGTGTATGGGCTATGTAGGTGTTGTTTAGTAGTAGGATTATCTCATTTGGTAGCTCGAAGGGTATGGAATTTTCGTCACTCATATCCATTTCTGGGATAACGTTAGCTACTTTTACACTAAAATCTTCTATTCTTAATGGCCCTTGCACTAGTTCCCTTATAGTTTTCCCATTTGGTAACCATTTATCAAACCAAAAAGATGTGGTCTTGCTATTCCCTAGAATCCGTTCCATACCTTTTTTACATACATCCCATCCTATTAGTAGATTTTTCTAGATCCTGTTGTGCGAGGGGAGGGCACAACTATGGATATTTATCCCATTTTCTCCGTATTTATTAATGAGTATTGATGTCCAGATTGTATCTGGATTTTTAAAGTCTCTCCACACCATCTTTGCTAGAAGAGCGAGGTTTCTAGCTCCTGCTTTTTGAATCCCTAGTCCGCCTTCCGATTTTTCTGAGGTGATGACTTCCCATTTAATCATGTGGAGTTTCCTTTTTTCCGATGTTGATCTCCATATGAAGTTTCGTTGGATTTGATCGATTATTTTGTGATATATTGCATTATGTGTGTTGGTATGTTATTTAGGAATGCTTTTGTTAATGTTGTTCTCCCTGCTATATTTAGAAATTTGGTTTTACATCCTGTGAATTTTGCCCGCATGTTATCTAGGATGAATTGATAATCATTTTTTGGGGTACTTCTATTTGCAATGGGAAAGCCCAAATATTTTCCAAACAGGTTCTCGCTTTTTATTTTCAACTTTATTGAGATCTTTTTGTTTAATTAAGTTGAGCAATTCTTTGAGAAAATTAGTTTAGATTTGCTTGTATTGACCACTTGTCTTGAGGCCGCACATAAACCTTTTATTATTTGTTTTATTACTTCGCAATTTCTTTTATCCGCTCTGCTCATTAGAACTAGATCATCTGCGAAGAAAAAATGGGATATTGCGGGACCCTATTTGGAGATCCTGATAGGGGTTCAATGTTTGAGCTGAACTTCCTGCTTTATCTTTTTTGACAGAACTTCCAGACATGATAAATAGATATAGAGACATGGGGTCTCCCTGTCGAATCCATCTGGATGGTTCAAATTATTCTATTTTTGGCCATTTATGAGGATAGATACTTCACTTGTTGTAATACACGACATTATCAAGTTGACTATGTTGTGGGGAAAATTGAAGTAATGTAAGGTATCTCTGATGAAAGACCATTTTTTTTTATCAAAAGTTTTTCAAGATCTATTTTGAGAATAAGATTGGCTTTCTTCCATTTCATTTTCTTAAAGTGTGAGATTATTTCTTGTATTATTATGGCATTATCGGAAGCTTGTTTATTTTTTAGAAAGCTGGATTAGCAGGGATTAATGACTTTGTCCATTATTGGTCTGAGTCGTTTGGAGATTACTTTGGTGATTATTTTATAAGTGGTATTACATAGGCGTATGGGTCTGAAGTCAATTAATTTGGTTGTGTTTTTTCTTTTTGGAATCAAACATATATAGGTTTTATTGATTTCTCTAGGAATTTTCCCTTGTTGGAAGGAAGTCCTACATAGAGAGGTGATAGATTCTCCTACGATGTTCTAGTATTTTTGGTAAAACAAAGGATGTAGACCATCGGGGCTTGGAGCTTTATGAGGTTAGAACGAGAGAACAGATCCCTGTATCGCTTTGTCTATAAGGGTGTCCCTAGTTGGAGAGGTCTACTTGGTTATTTGGGTTCACTGAATCTAGAGTTGCCCAGTTTGAGGAAGATCTTTTAGAGCTGAATAAGTCTTTAAAATAGTTGTAAGTGATTTCCTCTATCTTGTTTTGATTATAGACCCATACTCTTTCGTTTGTTTGTAATGTTGTGATTTTATTGCGTCTTCTTTTGTTTAAGGTGGTTGTATGGAAGAACCTAGTATTGGCATCTCCTTCGTTTAGCCAATTTACTCTGGATTTTAATTTCCAAAACTCCTCCTCAATGTGTAATAAGTAGTTATATTCTTTTATGAGATCATTTTCAAGTTTTGTAAGGAAAAGGAAAAGGGGGTTGATATACCGTGAGTTTACGGTATTTCTAA